TATATATATATGGGGGTGTGTGTGTGTGTGTGTAAAGGCTTTATAAACCCCACAATCTTGCAATGTTCTAAACTCACTTTTAACAACACATGTGCAGTACTGCATATGTAGCTATAAATTTTACTCACCAGCTCAACAGAACAGCAGCGACTCGGTTCTGATCCAACTTGGTTCCATTTCGATGGACCTATCCTGCTGGTTCTGGTCGGCTCTCTGGCTCAGGGTACTGGCGGTGGGCTCCGGATGGAGTGCCGGACCTACAGCAGCATGTCCCCCACCCTGAAGTCCTAATGGGCCAGCTACCAGCTCTCGGGTTCACCAATAGTCTGGGGGTCCAGTTCTGTGCAGCCCTCGAGCACCGAAGCGTATATTGGGGTGGGAGGTGGGACCTTCAGGTGGCCGGTGCGGGACTGGTAATCCAATTGAGTGGTCTGATAGAAGTGAAAAAAGTCCTGGTGGGCTCCAGAGAGGGCGCTGGACCTAAGGCGGCGTGTCCCCCACTTGGAAGTCCTCGTGGGCCGGCTAAAAGCTCTCGGGTTCACCGATGAGTTTTGGGGTCCGGTTCTGCTCCAGTTTCCTGTGGGTTACATGTGACCCTCTGCATCCACTGGACACTGAAGTCACTGTTTGAATAAGGACCAAACTTTTTCAGATCAGATCAAAACTTTCCTTCTACGTATTTCAGCAGAAAACAACGGGGCTTCTGGTTGGGGCACTATTGGCTTCTGGGAAATATAGTCCTTGTGAGTGGCTATACAGTATAGGCTTATTGAGAGAAAACTACAAAATGGCAGCGCCTGTCCAATGTATTTTATTTTTTCTTTAACATTTTACTGTACAGTATCCCATACTGTCCCAATAACGTAAGTAATATTAAAGTTGACAATCATGTGTCCTGTACAATTTTTATTTTCTTCGTGTTCAATCTTACTTTGAAAAACCGCAAAAGAGCGAGTTCACAAAAAAAAAACGAGTCCGCAAAAGAGCGAATCCGCGAAAGTCGATTTGCGAAGTAGCGAGGGACTATTGTACATTTTTAACTCCTAAATGCTCAAAGACAATGTTTGTTTTTGTGCTTATGTGGTTCTACTAATCAAAGCTTGGGACTCAATAAGATAAAACTGTCTCGCCAAGGAAAGAGCTCACCAATTTTTTAAAGTTTGGTCATTGCCCCCCTGGCCCACCCCTTGGTGGCACCCCAGTACACCTAACTTGCTTTTCAGTATGAACACACCCACAAGGTTTTGATCATTCACTCAATACTTGGAGCATACTCCTGGGAAAAAAAAAAAGTTTTGCCAAGCGCTTACATACTAAACGGGTTTGTGCAAAGCCTGAAAGATCAAAATTACATTTAATGTCATGCAACTGCAAGTAAGAACAGAGTTCTCATTATCTTACAAAGTATAAACGTAGCTTCGGCCCTCCCTGACTCAAACTCCTGCCCCTCACATCTTTCTTCTCATTAGCCTCTGTTCTCAGATGTCACATCAGCTCGAGTCGAACCACATATCTTGATGTTTTAGAGCAGCACTTTTTCTGACCTGTGTGGATCTGTAGATATCTTGAAATGCAAGCTTCCTCTGAGGTTTGACTTCATCACCCTCTTCTTTCCTTAGCAGAGAGCTTCCATAATACACATCATGTCTTAATTTTCAAATACAAGCTGTTTTTCATGTAAATAAGAAAGGTCACAGTCACACTCAAATAGCCCATGCTTTGTTTTAAAGGTAATTTGAGGGATGTATTTTCACAAAATTGTTCTCCTTTCAAAAATCTTGTATTGTTTTTTGTTTTTTTTTTGGGGGGGGGGGGGGGGGGCAGTAGGAAGTATTACTGCTAATTTGTGGCAGGAATGAAGGGGGAAAAAAAAATTAAAAGTTTGCGTTGGTTGGAAATCGACAGGCTCCTTGTACCTGGAGAGATTTCTACCACTGAGCACAGTGTTGCCAGATTTTGTGATAGAAACAAGCGACCAGCTCTATGAAAAAAGCCCACCTGGCAACCCACCACAGTGTAAAACAGAGGCCGTTTTAAAACATTTATTATGGCATTCCACATAAACAACAGCAAAATTATGATAAACACTTTGAATAACACACCTTTAAGCTCTGATAAACAAAAATACATTTTACACATGTAATAAATATGTAAATCATATATATTTTTAAACATATTTTTAAAAACAAAACATCCTGACATCTGCGTGTGAGTAGAGCCCCCTAGTGGTCGGTCACAGTATGAGTGTTTGAGTGTGCGTCTGTCGCCTCGCCAACTTGGGTGGGAGCGATAAACAGGAAACGGGGGCATGGAAGGGACAAACTACCTACCACCACTCGTCTTTTGCTTTATTGTGCGGAGCTGGGAGATACTCGACTAGTTTCACTCGGAAAGAAAGTCAAGCCCAAATAAGCAACTTCACGTTCAAAAACAAGCCCCTAAAAACGCGACTCACAAGATTTGCAAGCGACTTTAGAAAAAAACAAGTCCAAAGTCGCTTATAATGAACGGACTTGGCAACTATGTTCACAACGGTTATTTAATCGGCCATAAAACCGCTGTTGAGAAGTAGCTTAATGCAATACTGAGTGATTACAGCAGGTTAACATAACATTCCCAAATAACGTGAAGCGATTTAGGGACTGTCATACCCTAGCAAAAGGCTAACAACTAAGACAAAAACAAACAGGCCTACATTTATGTCCAATTTGTGAAATATTCAGAATAGGAGACAAATCAACACCTCTTCCAGTTGATAACTATTTAACATGGTCCAAGCTACATCACAGGATCATTGCCTTTAATAAATAAAGTAGCCTAATATTACTTTCCCATGTAGTAGTTTAGTTTTAGAAGTATTTCAGTCTTCAGAAGGGTATTCTTTTCTGCTGAAAACCAAAAATGTCGTCCTAAGCAGCTAAACGTAAACAGTTACCATCTAATATTAACAGGCTATAGCCTACATAACATGACACCTTTCATGCTCCAAGAGATGACACAGCTGCGTATCTTTTACCCTTTTCTCATTTCTCCTCTTTTATCTTTTTTCCTAAACCGGGCACCTGATGGAGTTGACTTGTTCTTGTCTGAGTAAGTTATCACCGTTCATCCCTAAACAGGAGTCACAACAGTTTGGTCCTAAACTAGTGCAGATTCATTTTTGGATTATTTTTTTTAATCAATTTCATGCAGATAAGCTGTAAACTCGTGGCTATATTCACAATATTATGAATGAAATGTGCTTTGTTTGTGAGCAATCAATGGTGTGATTTACTTAGCGAATTAATTGTATTAGGTGCGCTATTAGATGCATCCCTGACCCAGCAAGGGAGATGAGAGAATCCCCTTCCCCTCCCCTTCTTTGACAACCTGTGTCTGACCTCAGCAGAAGCAACATGCCCTGCAAGTGGGCCATAGAAAAATCATGTAGATTAAACAGGCTATATGAAATAATGAGTTTTATTTTTTTGAGGGGGCAGGGCTGGGCATCTCGTGTCACCCTTGCCTTGATGCTCCCTGGACAGCTACCTAATAATAATAAAGTGCTATGTGTTGTCATCATTGATTGTTCCCATACAATGGCAAAATTAGTTCTCTGCATTTAACTCATCACATCTGGGATACATCCAAGTGGAGCAGTGGGCAGCTATATAAGCACCCAGGGAGCAATTGGGGATTAGGTTTCTTGCTCAGAGACACCACGGCATGTGGGAATGGCTGAGGATCGAAGCGGAGACTTTCGGGTCCCAGGTTGGCTGCCCTGTCTCTACCCCATCTCGGCCCCACATCGCCCAAATCAGAAATTGCCACTGTGTTACTAAGATACACTCTTCAAACATTTCCCATTCTGGATAATATGAAAGATTGTCATACCCTATTATCGAAATGCTTCCTAAATGCATCCAAAACTTAAATCTTCAATATGTTCATTAATTTAAACTTAACCATAACTACAAAATAATTGATTCACAGTGTCTTTATTCTTTTATTTACCACCCATAAATACATATAGTTAAATAAATTAGCATCAGCTTACAGAGCTATGATCTGTAATTGGTGCTACATTGACAGTTACTGAAAGGTTACACTCAGTTTAAGTTGGTGTTTTTCCCACTGGTGTATGATCCCTGTATGCTTTGATCAAAGAATGTTTATAACATCACAAGAAGAAGAAAGAACAAGTGTCTTCTTTGAAATGTTTGACTCCTAGAGCTCTGTTACCATGGAAATACCTGTCAGTAACCCCGGCGAAGAGCTTCTGATGCTAGATGTGTTCCTGGAAGGAGACGACCTAACGGGGGCTGACTTGGTTTCAGTTCCCCCACGGGGGACTGTCAACTACAATATTACGTTCTCTCCCGTTAGTCTGGGGAAGATCACAGGCAGGTGAGACTCAGCACATTAAACTTGCTATTCCTCTTCAAAGGGTGGTCGTAAAAAATACTTGCCAAAGAGTAAAACTTTGCCATTTTAAGTATGTATGTGACTCGTGGAACTAATTTATCCTGGATTGCTTTGATGCTTTACTATTCATTGAGGAGATGCAGTGTAGGAATATAGTTTACATAATGGTTGTCATCTGCATACAACAATTGTAGTTGGTTTGTTGTTCCTTTAGTGCGGTGTTCCAGTCCCAACAAGTGGGGGAGTTCTGGTATCAACTGGAGCTTTATGCCCTCCCAACTCCGGTCATCAAGTTACCGCAGGCTCGTTGTCAGCTGGGCAAGTAGGTGAAACACTAATACACAGTTATTCATTTGAGGTTATGGGCTTGGAGAAAACATGAGTCCATATAAGATATTCCCACATCCCAGTGAGGTGAATTTGTACAGATAAAAGATGGCTAAAGACAAATTTATTATTTAATTATTGGCATTTAATCACCAACTCTTATTACATTTTAATGTTCCAAATAAATCCCCAAAATAAGTTTTGTTAGCAAAAATTGACAAAATATCCACTTTCTTCACCTATAACAAAATCCAGACTCATTTGTTTGACTAACAAGTTTTCATTCTTAAGTAACTTTTACTACCTACTTCATCAAATTCCATTTAATCCAAGTTTTTTTTAAATCCAACACCAGTTTGCTGCCGATGCTGTACACCAACGTAAACAAATCAAAGTATATATAGTCCAATGCAAGTTATAGAACAATTTCACATTTACTCAAATTCAGTAAATACATTTCAGTTCCTTTCAATGAAATTTGTAACTGAAGCCTAAACTCATCCAATTTATCCATAGCAGACCGTAGACTCTTGGGGACGGACATGGTTTTGTTGAAAAACGTGGACTCGGGGTGTCACTGTTAGAGCTGTGCCATCAGCGTTCCATATGCTCAGGCTCATTACCATGAAGCCAGGAGTAATGTCAGTGGGTGTCTCCACAACGTTGGCAAACTTCTTCCATGACGACCATTTACTTATACAATGGTCGTTCTTAGTAATGTAGAACAAAGATTCATGGCTGAACGTCATATGATCCTTGCTGCCACTTCCTTGCAAACTGAATAATTTACACACCTATCTCTAGTTTTCATGTCTGCCAAATTGGATCCAGATCAGATCATTCCCTCTGGGTCTAACAAGATTAAGTCTTTTGACTTAAAAGAAGTCTTTTGGATAAAAGACGAAACGTTTCAACAAAGAATAATCCATCCAGAGGACCTGACTTAACCTTGTTAGACTCAGAAGATTTATCTACCTGGATTAATGAGCATGTATCAGGACATTCCTTCTGGGTGCTTAACTTTTTTTGGCAATGATTGTAGCGTTAAACGTAATATTTAGATGTTTTTACCGTCTCTTACCGTTCCTTTGCGTCTGTGTGTTTTTCAGATGGATCCAACTAAACATCCCCCTTGTTAATCCCACATCTGAGGTTCTGGAGCTAATCGTAACTAACACAAACCCCCGAAACTACACACTGGAGATGGATTCAGCAGACACTGTTAGTAGTCACACTCACCTATAAGCTTCATTTGAACTTTTGTTATCTTGGTATTTTGTTGCAGTACTTTGTGATACGTACCGTATTTTTCAGCCTATAAGTCGCAGTTTTTTGCATAATTTACACGCCCTGCAACTTATAGGCCGAAGCGACTTATTTATGGATTTTTCCCATATTTATGAACCAATTTTTGGCCGAGATATGACCGTTTTTATTCATTCTGTCTGGAAAAAATTTGAACAGTACCATTTTCAGACACTAGATGGCAGCAGAGTAGTAGTAGCTGTATGGCATGCCGTTGTATCATGTAATAGGTAAAAGGGTTATAATGACAAATTCAAAAAAGTTAAAGACAAACAACTGGACTTTATTTATTATATTTTACTTTATACTTTGTTGTTTTTGTCTTGAACTTTTTTGAATTTGTCATGTCCTAGATGACTGAGAATCTTCACCAGCTATTAATGACACAATCGGCTTGCCAATTTACCCCCGCTTTCGTTCTGCTCGCTGCTTGGAACAAGTCAAACCTGCTGCACCGTCCCGGAGAAATGCAGCTAATTTGACCATTAAAGTGCATTTATTAAGTAAAAGTTCAACTGAGATGCACCTTTGATATAATTTTGAGCAAACAAATAATTGTTTTAGCTGCTTTTCTTGTTAAATTTCCAAGTAACGATAAGTGTTTTTTCTTCCTGATTTCCTCCCTCTGCGCGCTCCTGGAGCACCTCAGCAGCAAAACTATTTTTTGAAATTCAGCTGATCTGACCGTTAAAGTGCGGTTTTTAAGGAATAGTTCAACTGAGACACACCTTTGATATAATATCGAGCAAACAAATAATTGTTTTAGCTGCTTTTCTTGTTAAATTTCGAAGAAATGCGAAGGCTCGTACCTCTGCGCATGCTCGCCACTTCCGCGAATCGGGTTTTGAAAATGCAGCTGATTTGACCGTCAAAGTGCATTTATTAAGCAAACGTTAGACTGAGACACACCTTTGCTATAACGTCAAGCAAACTAATAATTGTTTTTAAGTGTTTATCTTGTTAAATTCTTGTTAAAGTCCTCCCGCGGCCACCATTTGGCAGCCAATTGATTTTTGGCACAAAGTCGGCCCACATTTCCGGGTTGTCAGCGGTGATGCATAATAGATGCGACATATGCGGCGAAGCGACTTATTTATGGATTGTTCCACTTTATTGGACATATTTGGACTGATGCGACGTATAGGGCGGTGCAACGTGTACTGTGGAAAATACGGGACTTTATCATGCATCTGAAGCTATCTTTCTCTAACAGTCAGTGAACAGAAAAGGTCAATGTTTTGATCAAAGCCACCTGTGGCAAAAAAGAAAGACCGACATATAAACCAAAATATTTCTCACATGAACTAGGCCAACAAACATCTGATTTGCGTGTGCAACTGAAAAAGTTGAAGCTGCACAGTTTTCCAAGGCTCCTCAGATGAGAAACAAAACACCTTCACAAAACTAGCAGTAGCCTTCATGAATAAACTTAAATCCACACAGACTGATTGCTAGGGGGAGAACGGTTGACTCGTGTTAATAAACTTTATATCCTGCATGTGTTTGCTTTAATATTTGTCTCAGCTCACGGTGGAGCCACGGTCTTGCACCCACCTCGGTGTTCGCTTCAGTCCTTCTGCTGTTGGACCAGAGAACCACGAGGGAAAGATCACTTTTATCTGCTCTCGGGTGAAGTTACACAAACTGACACTAACATGGAATGGATTTTAAAGATTATAAAGCTTACACACATGCACCCAGTTGAAGTGGTATTCACTCTTTTATTTTATTTTACACTTCTTTAAATAGATGCTCACACTTTCACAACCTGACAACGTCCACTCGTTTCTGTCCCATTACCCAGCAGCCCCTGCAGCTTACTAAAAAGTTAAGCTCAGTCTTTATGCTGCGTTAAAGAAAACGTCGTTTCAGCCATTCAGATTGAAATCTAACAGTAACACACGTAACTTTCTGGATCTGTAAAATTTCAACATGTAATGAAACCAGAGTACAAATGTAATGTTGAGCCATATTTCTACAGCACGCAGGTTTAAAAGTTTAAAAGTGAAATGTAGATTGTAAAAATGTTCATTTTTCTTCTGTTTAGTACTGATTATTTTATTCCGTCAATCTGTATATTAATTTGTCTTTGTTCTGTAGATGCAGGAATGGTGTGTTTTGTTGAGTGGGTGTGGCCTAAAGCCCGTGTTTGAGAAGCCTTTATGTGTGTCCTCTGTAATGGGTTCCAGTTCCACCATTGTTGTTTCATTCACAAACCCCATCAAACTCCCAGCAACACTCACTGTCACCGTAACAGGTCTGAGGTTCTTCCTGTCCTTCTCAAACCGGCACTTTGTGATCCATCTCGCTGCATGCATGAAATACTGATATTCATAAACCTTTCGGGGTATTTCTTTGTGTTTCAGATGAAGACCCTAATAAAATCTCTATCTACCATACGGTCACTGATAGGAAGACCTTCTCTTGCCCTCTGAGCCACGCTGAAGGTTTGTCAACTGATGCAATGATGTGCACCACTGAAACAAAAATACAGCGGGTTGCAGAAGTATTCGTCCCTCTTGATATTCTTTCCATTTTTTCATACAACCTGGAAAACTCAGTTTTCTCTCAGAAATGTCAAAAATGTGTTTTGATCCATCCATCGGTCCTTTAACTCGACCAGTTTCCCAGTCCAGTTCTTGCTGAAGAAAACCATCCCCGCATCTTGATGCCGCCACCACCATGCTTCACTGTAGGGGTGGTGTTCTCAGCGTGATGATTTTCCTCGGACACAGTGTTTCTCTTGATGTTTGGTCTAATCTGACCACAGCACCTTCTTCCACATGTAATAATAAATCCCAAACAGTTGTGTCTTTTTCTTACCACTCTTTTATGAAGCCCAGCTCTGCGCAGCTCCTAGTGGCTCTATGGACAGATCGTCACATCCGGATAGAAGAGCTGCCCTCTCCATCAGGGTTATCCTTGACTTCCTGGATGTTTTTCTGGTTAATGCCCTTCTTACCTAATGAGTTCTGGTGAACAATCATCTCTTGGCAGGGCTCAGTTTGCCATTTCCTAATATTGGATGTAGGATGCACATTATGATATGCTAATTAGTAAAAGTTATTTAACTAAGGAAGCCAGCAGATTTAGTTGAATGTTACTTTGCCACAATCTTCAGTCATGAGAAGCACGAAGTTGACAGTGGAAAGAAACGTCTCTCTTTAAAGAGAAACCTCCACAACTTTGTTTCTGACCTGTGTGGAGAGCGTTGAAGTGTTTTACTAAGTTACTCCTTAAAAGTGTTGCATTCGATTCTGTGGGTCTAAAGAATGATGAGAATCAGCACCTCCGAATCTGAGGCCATGGTTATCAACCGGAAAAGGATGGATTGCTCTCATCGGGTCTAGGGTGAGGTTCTGCTTCAAATGGAGGAGTTAAACTATCTCAGAGCTTTGTTCACGAGTGAGGGAAGAATGTAGCGTGAGATTGATAGATGGATTGGTGCAGCGTCTGCAGTATTAGTCTCTGTGCTTGTCCTCTGTGGTGAAGAGGGAGCTGAGCTGTAAGGCAAAGCTCTCTGTTTACCGGTCAATCAACGTTCCTACCTTCACCTATTGTCATGAACTCTGGGTGGTGACCGAAAGAATGAGATCGCGGATACAGGCGGTTGAAATGAGTTCCCTCCGCAGGGTAGCTGGACTCTCCCTTAGAGATAGGGTGAGAAGTTCAGTGATCCAGGAGAGACTCTGAGTTGAACTGTTGCTCCTCCATCGAGAGGAGCCAGTTGAGGTGGTTCAGGCATCTGATAAGAATGCTTCCTGGTCACTTCCCTAGTGAGGTGCTTCGGGCATGTCCGACTGGGCGGAGACCCGGAGAAGACCTAGGACATGCTGGAGAGACTATGTCTCTCCTGGGAACACCTTGGGGTACTCCCAGAAAAGCTCGAAGTTATGGAAAGAGATGTCTAGGTCTCCCTGCTCAAGCTGCTTCCCCCCGGAATAAGTGGAAGACCATGGATGGATGAATGGATGGATGGATGGCGTTTTGGATGGACGTCAGTGTCTTAGTTATTATGAACAGTTCGAAAATGCCGCTCCACATTTCCCATCTTTAGAATACCAGTGGTAGACTGGCAGATGAGGCAAACACTTCGAATATGACATCATGGAGAAAAAATGTCCTCCTCCCATTTCATATGGAAATGGTAGTTTTTTTTCTTCTTACTTGGTCCAGCTCCCCCACTCATTTTATATCCAATTTTGAGTTCAGAAGAAATAAATTGGTGGCTAACTAGACAACTCGGTAGCTTGCCGGAGTTTTGGCGCTGTTGTTTGTGCATGCGTGGTGACCTCTGTCAGAAAAGGTCAGATGTCAGACAATCAAGTGACAAATTTCAAAGTAAGGATGGATGATAGGCTGATGCCTATATTTTTAATGCCATGCAATCCACCCATACTACCTTTCCGATTGACCGGTCGATCGGCATATTGGACACCCTGCTCTAGAGCGGTACTATATTTTTGAAAGCTTGCACTAGTCATTCTGATTCACTAATTACTGTAACAACTTGTACAAACATGATGTTTTTAACTTAACAAAAGCTTTTCCATCTTGGTTGCAGCAGTACATGTAAGTGAAATGGCCACGGTTGACGTGCCCGTAGTGTTCGCACCAACTTCTGTGGGTTTACAGGAGGTGTGGCTCTACATCACCATGAAACCCATCAGCCCCAAGAGCAACACCAGTAAATCCAGCACAGACCGCACCAGGTAAGTCTGAGCTGCGGTCAGAACGTGACATTATGCCTGGTTTCAGACTAGCTCTGAGACATTTAGCAAAACTCGTTAGCCTCTGTCACTCCCTTATCTTTTCGGCCTTTTTTGTTTCTCTTCGAGCTGAAAAAATAAAAAAAATAACATAAAGATTTAACGGTGTCCAGGTTGAGCTTCTTGGTCATGTTCCGATGTTTACACTCCATTTGCTTATGGCATCACCCTGTATTGCTGTACAGTTGTAACATTAATCTGTTATCACTGACTGCTTGCTATGGTTCCAGGTAGCATGTAGACATTTCTCACACACTGAGACTGACAGTAATGTTAACACTGGACATTGTCTGCTCATGTCTGGACATGTCCTATGCTGGACCGATTTAGATTTGTTCTGGTTTGAAAAATAAACCAAACTTAAATAAAAAATAAAAAAAATCTTTCAAATTGATAACCTAACGTACTACTACTTAATGTATGCAACTGTTTATACGCAGTGTTTTAGAGCATTATTTTATATACGCCCATTGAAAAGCTGATGTATTGTGGTATTGTCTCCGTACGTCTGTAAACTTTCTCTTGTCCGGCTCATAACTTCTGATCCGCTCAACATAATTTAACGTAACATTTACATATATGCATTATCACTAGGCGGAGTGTTGGGTACACTTCATTACCTCAGCTCTAAGGTCACAAATCAAGATCAAAGTTAAAACAGGGTTGCTTGTCTGGCCCTTTGGTAAATATAGCTGTATTTCTGTATAAACGTTTCTCCACAGGTGTGTAAAGTGCTGTATGCAGTACTATTAATTTGCAGTAGTATGCAAATTTGCGTCGGTTATAAACAAGTTTTTCCACCACTGTGGATCTTTTTGCTTCCCGTATGTTGGTAACATTTTAGATCAGAGGAAGAGTGTTGGAGCAGCTGTTGGATTTATCCCCTTTATGCGATTTCCACGGAGGTTCCTGCTGAGAACTGTCCGCTCGGCGTGGTTCAGTGTGAAGTGGGTCGCCAGCTGGTGAAGACAGTGGAAGTCCAGCTCAGCGGTTACGTTCCCCAGAGCCAAGACCAGAAAGGCCACAAGGGTGAGACTGTTTAAATGGGATTTAGTGACGTCTTTATTTCATTGTCAAATCCAGAGAGCCTTACAACTCTAAAGCAGTGGTGTCCAAACCTTTCGACATTCTCTCAGGCCATAGTTTTATTAGTCTTGGATTTCAAAACATATAAATAATTCTTTGGGATTTATTTATTTATTTTACAGAATGGACAAAAGTACACTAAATGCGGGGCTCTAAAAGCCTCGCTAACAATTATTTCCCTTTTTGTAAAAGAAAAGCATTCGGTTCTTTTGACTTGTTGGGTTGATCGTTTTTAGTTTTGTTGTTTGAAAAGTACATTTTAGTGTATTTTCAGGAACAACGGTGTGATTTGAGTTACTTGTTTAAGAACAATTACTAAGTTCTAGATTCTTGGACCTAATGTTTTTTGGCTACTAGTTCATTTTTTCTTTTACCTAATATTTATTTTTTTAAATTGTCACCTACAGAATTGATTAAAAGACACCCGCTTCAAACGTTATCAGCCATTAAATGGCCGTTATCAGTTGTTATCATCCCCATAGGTTGCTTTCAGATTGTCCCTCCTGTACCTCCTAGTGGGTTTAAATATACGTTCTTATCACTGATAATATGTCAAGGGTCAGGGGGTTAAGTTTAGGGTCAGTGCTGTGGGTCAGGTGTAAGGTTAGGTTTAGGAAAAGGGTTAAATCAAGCTAACAAAAAAAGCTTCTGGTTTTACACGTGTGCTAAAGCTGCATATAATCAGCGATAAGAACGTACCTTTAAACCTACTAGGAGGTACAAGACGGACAGTATGACCGCAACCTATGGGGATAATAACTAATAACGTCCATTTAATGGACTGATAACATTCAAAGCCGCTGTTAAAAGATTCAGCTACATCAACTTGTCAAACCCATGGGCCAAATTATACCAGTTTTAAACTCCAGTCACGGGCCACACAAAATCCCTCAAAGGGCCACAAATGGCCCATGGGCCTCACTTTGGACACCCCTGCTTTAAGGGTTTACGGTTGAGAACCACGAGGACTTGTGTCTTCTTTTACACCTAATATAGATGAAACATAGAAAAAGATGTGCTGAAGTTTTTGTCTTTGTTTCTGTCCGGTCAGTTTCGATAGAAGACTTTTGGTGCCAGACGCGTTCAGACAGCGAAGCAGAGCTCTCTGAGCTGAGACGCTGTCTGTCCATAACTACTGAAGCGGTGAAGAGAAACCCTAAGAATGGCGTCATTATCCTCACCCTTCGTCTGGTCTACACGCCCCTCAGGACCTGCAGGTTACTGCGCTACATCCAAAAATTATAATCAAATGTATCCATGTGTTACATCTATACATACTTTATACATTTTAGGATCAAAAGTGTATGCAAAAGTATTTGTTTTAAAAAAAAGTTCTATAGAGGTGCAAACAAGCTCATTATAAGTCAGAAACTAAACTTCAATCATTCTCTTCTAGAGAAGCACACCGTCATACAAAATCCAAAAATCTTGCAGACGTAAACCAAATTGCACTCTCGGAAACAAATGCACTCTTATTCTGTTAGGGGAAAAAATGATAGGATGCTAATGAGAAGTCAGAAATACAAATTACCATGCATAAGACCAGAAGACGCAAACAAACTCACAGGAACGAAAGAACAACAACAACAAGGAAGAGATCCCAACACTTTCCGTTTGCTGCTTTTCCTTCTCGTATCATACATAAAACGTTTCCTTGAAGTTTCTGTATTCATTTATCTTTTTTTCCAGCAGCAGTCTTCCTCTGGTCCTGGGTGTGAGGATTAATGTATCACTGCCTGAATCTTAATGTTTGTTCCTGTAAAGGTTGCTTTAAATGTAAAGGGTAAGGCTCATTACTGCAGCCGCCTGTAGTTTAACCATGCCTGTCCTGTTGGGTCACATCCCCACAGTAAAATACGTTAAAGAAGCAACAGGCACATTTAAAGACGTTTACAATCAAGTCACAGATCACTCTAAACCAGGGGTTCTCAAACGTTTGGCTTCAGGGACCTCTTACAAGGTAGAACACGTTTCAGGGACCCCCTCATAACCCTCATGTTTATTAAATCATTTTCTTCCATTTGTCTCTTTAATGCAATGGAAATATTTGTGTAACATAAATACTTGAGATCTATTCTTTAATAGTGTTAATACAATTTTTATACTTTTAAACGTGGGGTGTTTTTCATTCAAGATGCACTTAATTAACAACATTTTTAATTTCAACTTCCAAAAATTAGTTCTGATAAAATTAACAATATCAAAAACCACTTTTAAACTTTACCTATTCAATTCAGTTTATTTATATAGTGCCAAGTCACAAAATGAACATAAATGTACAGTAGTCCCTCGTTTATCGTGGGGGATCCGCACACTGAAGCCCAGCGATAAGTGAAAAACCGCGAAATAGGAATAGTACTACAAGAAGTAAGTGTAAGTTATTTTAGTGTGTGTGTATATATATACACACACACTATAGAGTGTGATCTTGACATCAAGTGCAATTTACAGTTTCCCATATATATATATATATATATATAGGTGTTTTAAACCCTTACCACACTCTTGCTATATTCTAAACAATGTTTCTAAACGTACTTAAAGAGCACAGAATTTCATGATTTCAGCTCTCTGCCCCACTTCTCTGCTGTGCACAGAGATCAGCTGATCAGCTGCAGGAGGAAGCTTATTCTGCAGTGTGGGATGCACAAAAGTGCAGAATGTGCTAAATAATTTAAAATACTTTATTTAAAATAAAAATTTCATGCCGATCCTGCGGCTCTTCCATCGATCAGCCAGTTGTGTCATGTCCAATATTATTTTTGAAAAACCGCAATAGCAAGACTGCGATAAACGAACCACAAAGTAGCGAGGGACTACTGTATTTTTGCAGGTTGGTTGTTAGACATATATGTGCTTATTAAAAAAAATTATATATTTTTTTTTACCTCCAAGCACTGGCTCGCGTACCCTCGAGGACCACTGCCCTAACCCAAAAGAGCATTTATTCAATAATGTGACCAGCATTTGAATTATTTATTATGCTAAATCTATTAAAATATGTTTTTACTTTGACGTCCTTGTAATTTGAGTGATTTAGGAAAACAATGTCCCTTTCTCTTAAAATCAGGATTAAAACATAATCTTAGGATCCCACCTTTATCCCTAAAGTGTCTTCAAATTAATCTCATTTCACCCCTTGCCCCTGTATCACTTTCTTTTATTTTGAACCAACGTTTATGGGGATTCTGTTCGAGTGTTGGAGGAGAGCAAAGTAGACGATTTCTCAAGTCCACTTTTTAACTAAGGTGTTAAATCTAAAATCTTTGTAACCAAACCCTATCCTTCAGTCACGCCCTGTCATGTTCCACACCGCTGTCATCAGCGCCTTGTCATATTCCTTGTTTGACCCAATCGAACACGATCTAGTCCTTGAGCGCTTCCAGTCAGATGTTTCCACACTTGATCCCACTTCAGCCTTTAAGGGGACATCTCTCTGACTGTTCCAGCTCCATTCCTCGAGGGGTTGTTGCTGAATACCAATTCACCCTCATCTACCCAGGAGGTTTTTCTCTGCTGGCATCCACTCCAGTGTCAGCTCCACTGTGTCATATCTGTCCTTCTGAGCATCTCTTGCCTCAAGGTTTCTGCATTCATCTCATGTCCTTGTCAATATTTGAAGGACTCTGCTCTGGATCCCATACCTCTTGTGCTACTCCTGTTGGGTTTTAGTTTCCCAGCCTTCCTCCTGAACTGTCTCACCTGCCTGAATGGTCCTCCTTTACTTCACCTGCCAGTGGTCATTATGGTATTGCTGATCAGTGTATGTTGTAATAGCTAAAAAGTTTACAGTTTCTGCAGTGTGATCTTGACATCAAGTGCAATTTACAGTTCCCCATTTTATCTGTGCTCTACATGTGAGATCCCGCTGAGCGAAGAAAGCATTCATTTATCAGCTCCAGTCTTCTGTGGAAGATCTGTAGAGTCCATTAATGAGGCGTGCACCGGTAGAATCAATACCTCCGAGAGCTAATGACATCGCCATCAGGAAATGATGGTGGGGTGTGGTGCCGCTAATAGGCTCTTCCATTATCTACATGTTAAATCTCCGCCGTAAGTGGAAACGAGACGATGGAGAATCATAAGCTCAAAGCCAGAATATTAAAGGCCAGTTTGATGCGATAAATAAAACTACTCAAATGGTACTTTACAAGAAAAATGAGAAAGAAAAAGGAAAGTTTTTGGAAAACAAATGACCCAAACTCCAAACGAAAGATATTCAAATCTGTAACAAGGAGAACCAATGGCTTCCAGGATTTTTACTACCGTTAAAGCCCTTTGCAGATAACTAATGTGATCCTTATCACAAACTTGATTAGAAAATCAGATGATCTACCCACAGCACGAAATACAAACCTCCATGTTCTGTATTTCATCCTGTTACGGTTTTATACAACCCCTAACATTTGGAATCCTAACTTTTAAAAGAAGCTCATGTACCTGTTTTTATTTGGTAAAGAAAATAAATTGAAACAAATCTAAATAAAATAAAACTGATACAACCTCCCAACCTGGGAATTATTTTAATTAATTTGGAGTTTTCTATGGTCGATTTAAACCTATTTTCCAGGGTGGAAGGGTTATACAACATACACATCAATGATCTTTAAAACCAAGCACAGCTTTGAATTTATTGTGTTTTTTTACTTAAGCACAGGGCCACAAAATATACATACAAGCTTAAATATGTTCATTCACAACATAATATTTGGTTAAATGGTAAATGAACTACTTATATAGTGCCTTTTTAAATTAACAAGATACTCAGTGCTTTACAGTACAATCTGTGTCCTCGTTTACCCATTCATACAGTACTCTCCTATAGCTATACAAAGACTAATCAGTGCTTTAGTGTTACTATTACTATAGTTTATACTGTTCATACACTGATGGGACACACATCAGAGGCAATGAGGGGTTCGGTGTCTTGCCCAGGGACACGTCAGCATGTGACCGCTGGTGGAATTAAACCCCCAACACTCCCATTGGAGGACAACTGCTCTAACCACTTAGCCACAGCTTCCCCCAAGAAACAGTTTTATTTTTGAGAATTTTAGTTTGAATTATTGAAATTACATCTTGTACTTGAATGCAAGAAATGGAGTGAGTCACATTGCCTTCTGGGTAATCTTGGAGGGACTGCTCTAACCACCCCCAATGTCTCTTTGTGAGTTCTATCAAGATAACACGTTTTGAATCCCTTAAAAAACTTTGGGGCACATTCTGTTTAAATTTGTTTTATTAGCCCCTCATTTTGGCAGAATTGGTGGAGTTCATTTAAACTTGTTGGTTTCCTGGCATAGATCAGGCTTTTAAGCGTAATATCCCTTTAAAAAATACTTTCAACCCACGATCTGCATGTGTTTTCCACACCTCGACTCTCATCTGGGTTGAAGTTGCCCTACCTTTAAATCCGCCAGTGAGAAAGCTGAAATGTTCATGATAGGAAATGGAAAAGTGCAAGAAAAACGTGATGTAGTGAAGACATGAAGTCTGTGCAACCAGACGGCCGCAGGATTTAAAAGCTACTGGGACGAAGATCATTCCTGTGAAAAAACTAGGAGAGATAAAGACTAACTGGAGTGATAGCAAGAGTCACATTGAACGTATTTGGAAAGCCATCAAAAGAAACATGACACAGAGGTCGTCCACCATTATTGTTTTGAATAGTACTGGGGAAATGCTGACACACAGTGACGTAGTCTACGTGATACTTGGGTAAATGGAGTATACCCACTAGAATAGCTTAAGAATTTCAGTATATTCACTGAAAAGTGCCCAACGACACATGACATATCATTAGACACGTGTCATTGATATGTTAAACAGAAGTTAAACTCTTCCGTAACAATCAGTATACAGAGCTTGTTCATTATATTCGCTTATCCAGTGAATTATTTTGTATAATTAATACTTCTGTACTTAATACTTGAACATGTTTTGCTTTGATACTGTTTTATAAATCCTATAACATGTTTTAATACAAAGCCAACTGCTGTACAAAGTCTGTCATACATTTATTCAAATATTAGCATCAGAGAAATTTGAAAATGTTCAATATGCTTAAAAATCCAAATAAATGGACAATTACTTGTACTAACCAGTGTACCTTGGTTTCTAAGCACAGTATACGGACCGACCGCGGTAAAGTTAGTTTTACCTCGGACATTTGCACTCTGTGGCTTCAACTGTGTCCAATGTAAAACTAACTTTACGGCAACAAAGTCCATTCTCAATAATCCTATAATATCTTTACCGCAGTATACCCACTACAGAAATGTAGACTACACCACTGCTGACACATGTTTTATGTGCACTGAGTTCACCTCAGTTGAGTTCTACGCCACGCTTCTTTGGCCCTGTGATCCCGGCTGCAATGTTATGGTAGTAGACACAGGCCAAGATCTCACCAGATCAGGGGTGTCGAACTCCAGGCCTCGACGGACGAAGTCCTGCAACTTTTAGACGTGTCTCTGATGCCGCACAGCTGAATCAAATAAGGAGGTCATTAGCAGGACTTTGGAGAAAGTGACTGCACTGAGAAGCTAATTCAGTCATATGATTCAGGTGTTTTGCACCAGTGGAACATCTAAAAGTTGCAGGACACCGACTCTCGAGGGCTGGAGTTTGACACCCCTGCACCATATCACCTTGTGTGAGGTGAATGTGTCACGGTGTGAGGTTTCCCTGGTGAATTTTTCACTTGTTGGCTTTCTGGTTCTTCAGTTCATCCTTCCTGTCTGTTGTTCTCCTCTGTGTAGTTTCCTTCACCTGTGTTTGGCTCACTCTTCCCAGGTGTTCCCTGTTCCCCTGATTAGTTTTCTGTATATATTCGTGTTTTGTCCTTCACTCCTGGTCCGTGCATTGTTTGTGACGTGTCGCCCTTGTGGGGTTCTTCTGTCTCCTTCGTGTTCACCATTCCTTGAGTAATTTTCCAGGCAAGAAGGAAGTCGTGAAGAGTTATGATTCAATACATTTTTCTTACCTCGCCATCTGGAGCTGAATCTACACTTGAGTCACCTCCCAAGCCTGAACCTTACAGAATGAGTCATGAAACGGAGCTCGTGTTTGCATGTTTGTTGTGAAACTATGATCCGAAAAGGGCTATAATCCACAGATTTTCATCAAGGTTAAGACTTTTTTTTTTCATGCTAGCCGGATTTATCCAGTCAGTAACCAGTTCTGATGTCGCCCGATTGGAGCACACAACTCTGTCCAACGTTCAACCATTGATTTAAGGTTAAATTTAATGGTTTGAAGGTAGTTGAAAACAACTAAGTCCATGCTCAATAATCCAGGTATACAATCCAGCATTTTTCAGTCAGGTCATCTGGACAGTTTCTTTTTTTTGTGCTGAAACGTTTCGCCTTAGGTCCGGAAGGCTTCATCAGTCATGGGAACACAAAACAAAACTGATTCTTCCCCCAATAGCTTACTCCAAAGTGGAACAAACCAGTTCTGCTTGTGATAAGATGGTCTCTTTGGTAGGCCCCCTCCTCCATTGCCGGCACTCTTCCTTGTTGACAGTCATGTCAAACTGGTTGAAAACAGTAAAGTCCATGCTCAATAATCCAGGTATACAATCCAACATTTTTCACTCAGGTCATCTGGACAGTTTCTTCTTTTTTTTTTTTTTTTTTTTGTGCTGAAACGTTTCGCCTTTGGTCTGGAAGGCTTCATCAGTCAAGGAAACACACAACAAATACCTGGATTGTATACCTGGATTATTGAGCATGGACTTTGTTGTTTTCAACCAGTTTGACAAGACTGTCAACAAGGAAGAGGGCCGGCAATGGAGGAGGGGGTGTACCAAAGACACCATCTTATCACAAGCAGAACTGGTTTGTTCCACTTTGGAGTAAGCTGTTGGGGGAAGAATCAGTTTTATTGTGTTTCCTTGACTGATGAAGCCTTCCGAACTGAAGGCGAAACGTTTCAGCACAAAAAAAAAGAAACTGTCCAGATGACCTGACTGAAAAATGTTGGTTTGAAGGTAGTGTTCTTTCATTATTTCATCCACGTTGTGCACCATTAACACAGCATGATGCTAACACCACCATGCTTAACAGTTAATGCAATGGTTTTCATTCTCAATAATCCAGGTATAAAATCCAACAATGTTAAGTCAGGTCATTTGGACGGTTTCTTTTTTTGCTGAGGCGTTTCGTCCTTCATCTAAAGGACCTCCTCAATCCGAGAAACCAATAAACAAAACTGATTCCCACAAAACGGCACACTCCAGTGTTTTTTGTTGTTGTTGTTTTTTAGGTTTGAAAACCTTATTTTCATTGTGGCTCAGCCTTTGTTTCGTCTGACCAGAAAACTTATGTTTTTTTCCTTTTAGCTTTTAACTTATCCATATGCCGCTGCTTCTTTCAGTCAAACTCGATGGCGCAATTTTAAAGCAGGAACTGTATGCAAAACTGGTTTCACTGTAGACATGGACGTGTGGTGTTCCAACTGTTTTCTATTCAAGGCAGGCGAAACAATTTCTACATTAAATTTAAACTTGTGCACCCAATTCTTGGTTTTCACAATCGTTGAAGTTGCGTTGCATTCCACCCTTGAAAATGAACGGTTCAAATCAATCAATAAAGGCCTGACGTGAATATTTAAACTTCTTACTGTAAGTGTAAATTGTATTTATTACCAGTAGCTTTTCCAAACAGTGAAGCAGATAAAAACAATTAAGAAATCTTGTAAGTTAGGCGTTAAAGACGAACACATGCATAGACCATGAAGAACAATTTGCTGTCTCATCAGCAGGAAACCTGAACCCAACAAGAGAGCTGTGCGCAGAAACAATTAAAAAGATTTTTAAACTCTTTTAGGAAGACTGTTTAATTTGGAGTTTGTTGTTCCCACCTGCTGGTTCTAACGTTTAGAGTGAGTACAAACAATTTGTTTAGTTAATACACTAATGTAATTCAGCCTGTAATGTGTTCATTTGTGATTCTTATGTCTCTCTGAAGGTGCTTGAGTGTCCTTGGGGTTCAGTCAGTATCTGGCAGGAAATGGGAGTTTCCCATCATTCTCATGGCAACAAAGCGTCAGGTCTATGAGGAATCGGCTGTGGGTGTTCATCCGACCAGCACCGCCAGGTGGGTTTATGTGTGAGAGATTGTAATGTAGTTATGCTTTGTTTTGTTTGCTATTTGCAGCCATCAAAAGTAACTTGATATGTCTTAAAGATCTATTTTTGATTTAAACCTCAGCTAAAAAGCAAGGAATTAAAAGCAACAACAACAACAACAAAAAATGAATAAATAGAAATACAGTTGTCAAAATGAGCTTGATGGTTAGTTTTGTTACATTTCTTATGTTTAGAACCCATTTTACAGGCAGAACTTGGAGAACATGGGAATTAGAGTTGAATAAATCAGTTTCCCCTACCATTATACAAGTGGGGCGCCCCGCCCCTTCAACAGAACCGAGAACCCCGTCTACCGAACCGTGCATACCCCCCCCCCACCCCACACACACACACACCTGTCGGCACTGACATAATGCTTAGCTAGCGGCTCGTAATACAGGTGCAATAGCTGAGGGTGCAGTCACACCAGCCCTGTTTAGTCCGTTTGCCTAAAAAGTCAGGTACGTTTGGGGAGGTGTGAATGCGCAATTGAACTCTGATACAGACCCAAAAAGCGAACTCTGTTCCACCTAAATACCTTGGTCTCGGTTCGGTTGACGTGAACTCAAATTTGGTTCAAATGCAAGCGGATCGGAGACCGCTCCAAAAGCAGGAAGTGGACTACATCGAAGGACGTTCTGTGTAAATACAACCAAAACATATGTGCATTTCTCATACCTCATACGGAGCCGTCTCAGCCGCCTTGTGTGAAAAACAACACTCTCCGTGGTCTTCTGCCTCATCTTCCGCTCAGGCTGAGTCCATTGTTGAAAAACGTTTGGTACATGTGCCACAAACAAAACAGAAATCGCAAAATTTGACGCCACTCCATTGTTTTATTTTATTTCCAGAAGTAAGTTGCACTCGGTGTCTTCTTCAGAGGTTTTCGTGTCGTTTACTTCAGTAGATCTTGGTGCAGCGCCACCACAGGCGATGGGGGGGAACAGGTTGGCTCGATTGACTCAGTGCAGTGTGAACGTGAACTACACCAGCTGGAAATGGAAACAAATGTTCTGAACTTTGGTCCCTAATCAAATCGAGTCTACCGGACTATCAGGTGTGAAAATGACCTTAAGGTAAAAGGTAAAGGCAGCCTCTTCACTCATGCTGAACCCTCACACTGAACCCCACCCACTCGAAAACTGTTGATACAAACAGCACACAACTCAGATGTGTCTCTGTATTCCTGCCCCCCACCCCCCACCGGCTCTAAAATTGTTGGTATAAGCAGCGCTTTGCGTAACTTAGCTTAATAAGAGAGCTGCCGATTTAAAATCGGGAGCCGAACTCACAAACATAAAATTGTTTGTGTTTCATTTATATTTAAGAGAATCATATAGATCAGTCAATCAAGGTAGAGTAAGTTTGCGCACCCTTCTTTAATTTGTTAAAGCACCATCTGAGTCTTTCTTCTTGGGAACACACCTAGCATCAATTCAAAGTGTCTGATCAACATTTGCTCAGTTCCATCTTACAATAAAATCCAAAGTCCACAGACTCGCAAAGCATCAAAGGATTTCTTTGGTGAAAGGTATGGTATGAGAAGGTTACAAAACACGTTCCCGGCATTAGAAAACCAATGGAACACATTGAAGACTGTTACGAAGAAGTGGAGAAAATATGAATGGTAAATGGATTGTACTTATATAGCACCATTCTATCTTTTCAAGACACTCAAAGCTCTTTGCACTACAATCTGTGTCCTCATTCACGCATTCATACAGCACTCTACTAGATCTATACAAAGCTAATTGAACAAATCATTCTAAAGAGACTAATCAGCGCTTTAAAACATTCATACACCGATGGGACACACATCAGAGGCAATGAGGGGTTCATTGTTTTGCCCAGGGACACTTCGGCATGTGACTGCTGGTGGATTCGAACCCCCAACTCTTGCATTGGAGGACGACTGCTCTAACCACTCAGCCACAACCGCCCCAATGCCCCATATGAGACAACCGTAACAATACTGAAAACTGGACGTCCCTTCAAAACTGACGAAAAGAGATGAAAACTCTACTTGTGCACGTGACAACAATCTGTGTTCTCCATACGCCTGGACTTTGGGGTAGGAAAATCTTTTCTTAAAAGTAAAGCCAGTGTTTCGCCTACTTGCCTTGGCAGGGCGCTCATGTCTTCCGTGATTTTTGTCAACAGGGTGGGGGTGTATGGAGACGGTGGAGACAGTCACGTCAGTGTTGCGCAATTCTTGTACCGACAGTTTTCGAGTGGAGGGGGTTGGGAGATGACTCAGCATAAGGAAAATGGAGCACTACCTAGCTTTTTTAGCTAGCACGTCTGTATTGCGCGCCGCTAGCTTAACGTTACGTCAGTGCCGGCAGTTGTCGACAAAGGGGTTTGGTTCAGTTCGGTAGGCAGTGCGCTTGGTTCTGTTGTCAGGGCGGGGCACAATGCTTGTAATGGTAAGGGAAACACTAAAAGCATCTAAGTCTGGCAAAGGATAGTAAAATACAAAAAGTCTCCCAAGAATGTAAAATAAATGTGTTGGATGGAAGTTTATCTGCAATTCTAAAGATCAGTTTGGTGCAGGAACAAGTATAAAAAGCACAAAATCCACAGTGAAGCATTGTGGTGGCAGCATCATGCTACGAGGTTTTAGTAAAGATGTATGGGTCAGTTTTTGGTTTAACACATCCAGGTGTCAGAAATGACCTCAGAGGCCTCAGCCACGGGTCATTTTGATCCAAGGCCAGCAGGAGGGTTTAAAGCACAAATATTTAAACTTCTTTATATTTTATGTTTCCTCAACGATTAAAACCTAGTCCTTTTATTCCAGGCATGCAGCGGACGTATGAGGGCAGAGGGAAACCCCTCAGGACTGCACGCCTCGCTGTAGCTCATCCATCAAGGCCAGCTTCTCAGGACCCGCTCTCTCCAGAGAAAAGCAGCGAAACTTTGCGGTTCATATTTCTTGCGTGGCAAACTCCTCCCCCGACAAAACCAAAAGATAAAAAACACTTCTCTCCCTCCACATATACCGCAGAACTAGAATCTCTGTATTTAATCAAATTAGACAAGAAAGTTGCCACATTTTTTTTCTTCCTGTTCTGGTTCATTAACTGCATGAGTGTTTCTCATCAGCAGCTCTAATTAGCTTTTTCTCTGCCAAGAGAACCAACTTGTGTCAAACAAATAAAAAGCTTCAGCAACATTTTTTTTTCTGCACTTCGTCCCTTCAGCTTTCCAACTTGTAATTCTGACACCATCTGCTCATCATCCATGTACTCTTAGCAAACACAAAATAAGTCTTTCTGCACAAACTTCCTTTAAGGTACAACTGTAATCTATACGGGATAATATCCACATTATTAACAACCCTCAAGTGCCCCAACGTTTCACATGTTCAGCAGGTAAAATGTTTCCAATCTTGCTTACCGACAAACACACACACATACACATATATATATATATATATATATATATAGTTTGTACAATTCTGTGTTTATCTGTCTGTTAGCAAAATATCCCATGACACAGACAATTTTACGGAGATTGAGCTAAAATTTAGTGATAGTTGCTGACATTCTCAATTGCTCACACATTGCGTAACATCTTAAAACGTTGGCATTAACTGGTGAGATCAACACTGTTAGCAAAATATATAATGTACCACTGGATGGATTTTAATGAAATTCTCTGAGACTCAATCTTTGTGACTCAATGAGACCAACCTGTATAAATAAAGGTTGGATGAAAAAAGTCACCATTGGATGAGCATCTACAACTGATTAGCTTTCAGAGTCAGCACAATTTAAAATGGCTGCCACTGCCACCTAACGTTAGAAAACACAAAATGGCTCAGTCGGTTTAACAGATATTGAGCTAATATTTGATGTAGTTGTAGCTGAGTGTTATTCACAATACATAGTCTGAGGAGGATTGCATTAGTTCCTAAATAATATTGTTTTGAAAGTTTTATCAAAATGTCTTTATCTGCATCATTGCTCAGTGTAAGAAGTTTATCTTAGTCTAAAACTCTGACACAAAGTGGTAAAAGGTGTTTTTTTTATTATAGAGTATAGTTTTTTTTAATTCAACCTTTATTTATACAGATTAATCACAGACCTTTTTTTAGACAGACAGAAAAGTAGAGAAAAGTAACACAAGCGGAGAGGAGGCAAAAAAAAAATCATATGTCACACTGCGCCCTGGCTGAGGCACAGTGTGAAAGTTGAGCATAAAAGACTCCGCACATAAATAGCATGATGACGCAGACATTCTGCAGGAAGCCGACAAGGGCGGTGAGATTGTCTGTGAACACTAGCAGAGGTTCCATAGTCCTGATAAAGATGGCACAGTGTTCAGCCGGCTCGCTCTGATAAGGGTCCACAGATGTACTCGGGTTAGGGTGGGGTGAGATTGTCGGTGAACACTACCAGAAGTTCCATGGTCCTGATAAAGATGGTACAGTGTTTATTCAGCCGGCTTGCTCTGATAGGGATCCTCAGAAGTCCTCGGGGGTGGGGGTGGGGGTGCAGGGAGGAAGGGGGCAGAGCAAAGCATCATGATTTACAAAACCTCCAGGAGCATTTGAGATAGGGTGGCCTGGCCGGGGAGCCAATTTCCGAAAAACAATAGTTGTTTTGGGACAGACAGATGTTACTGATTTCACGTCTGTCTTCAGTCTTTTGCTGGTACTCTCAGTGGCGAATCCAAACATCCAGATTTTGTGGTCAAACCGCCGACCCATGCAAGTAGCCTTCTCCGAGATCGATTCCTTCAAAGTGTAGTCTGTGAGCTCGTAGCACAATGCAAACCTTCATATAAGGCAGGCAGCCTCATCAATGCCAATATTGCTGCCAACGTCTTCCTAATTTGTTGATATCCCAGGAACCCACCGATTCCAAAAAGCAGAAACCCTGTTATCATAAATCCAATTATGTACACATCTTCAACATCCTCTATGGACAATACAGACAGGCACATCGTTTTCCTTCCACCCCAGGAATCCATGACATAT